CATTAGAATGACTAAAGTTTGGCAAGGCCATGAGATACAAAATAAATAAATAAAATTGTATTTGTATATGTCAGCAATAAATAATCATAAAATAAAATTAAGAAAACATTTTGATTCAAAATAGGATAAAAGAGAATAAAATATGTAGGAATAAATTTAACAAAAGAAATACAAGACTTGTACAATGAAAATCATACATTATCGAAAGAACTTAAAGATCTAAATACATGGAAAGACATTCCATGTTCATGGATTAGAAGCCTCAATACTAAGATAGAATACTCCTCAAATTGATGTATAGATTTAATGTAATATCCATCAAAATCTCAGCTGTCTGTTTTTTTGCAGAAATTAACAAGTTGATCCTTATTATGGATCAATTAAGATGGAAATACAAGACCAAGAATAAATAAAACAATCTTAAAAAAGAGGAATAAAGTTGGAGGACTCACACTTCCCATTTTAAAAATTTACTATAAAACTACAGTAAAAGTAATCAAAAGTGTTGTACTTATAAATTTTCAGTTATAAGGTAAATAAGTTCTAGAGATATACAGCATGGTAACTATAGAAAATAACTGAAATTTGTTAAGATCTTAGGTGTTCTCATCACACACACAAAAATGGTAATTATGTCAGGTGATGAATGTGTGAGCTAGCTTTATTGTGGGAATCATTACAAAAGGTATACTTATATCAAAATACTATGATGTTTACCTCAAATGTATATAATTTTTAGTTTGTCAATCATATTTCAATAAAGCTGGGGAAAAGCCCTCCCCAAAACAACGTGGTGGTACTGGCATAAGAAACGACATATAGAGGCTGGGTGCGGTGGCTCATGCCTGTAATCCCAGCACTTTGGGAGGCTGAGGTGGGCGGATTACTTGAGGTCGGGAGTTCGAGACCAGACTGGCCAACATGGCAAAACCCCATCTCTACTAGAAATACAAAAAATTTACAGGTGGTGACGAGTACCTGTAATTTCAGCTACTTTAGAGGCTGAGGCAGGAGAATCGCTTGAACCTGGGAGGCGGAGGTTGCAGTGAGCCGAGATTGCACCACTATACTCCAGCCTGGGTGACAGAGCGAGACTCCGTCTCAAAAAAAAAAAAAAACAAAAAAAAGAATTGACATATAGAAAAATGGGATAGTGGCGAGAGTCCAAAAATAAACTCGTATATATGTGAATTATTTTTTAACAAGGGTGCCAAGATAGTTCAATGGGAAGAGAACAGTCTTTTCAAGAAACAGTGCTGGAATAACTGGATAGACACATGCAAATGAATAAAGTTGGATCTCTACACCTCATACCATATATAAAAATTAACTCCAAATGGAGTAAAGATTTAACAGTAAGAGGTAAAACTATAAAACTCATTGCAAACATAGGAGTAAATCTTCATGAACTTTTTTTTTTTTTTTTTTTTTGAGATGCACTCTCACTCTGTTGCTTAGGCTGGAGTGGAGGTGATCCACCCGACTTGGCCTCCCAAAATACTGGGATTACAGGTGTGAGTCACAGGACCTGGCCTGTTAGGCAAAGACTTCTGAGATACGACACCAAAAGCACAAGTGATAAAAGAGAAAAAAAAAACATAAATTAGATTTCATCAAATCCAAACCTTTACTGCTTCAAAAGATACTATTATTAAAGTTAAAAGACAAACCACAGAATGGGAGACAAGATTTGTAAATCAGTAATCTGATAAAAGACTTTAACCACAATGTATAAAGAACAATTAAAAATCAGTAACATGGGACTGGGTGCGGTAGCTCACGCCTGTAATCCCAGCACTTTGGGAGGCTGAGGTGGGAAAATCATGACGTCAAGAGTTCAACACCAGCCTGGCCAACATGCTGAAACCCCGTCTCTACTAAAAATACAAAAAATTAGCTGGGCATAGTGGCGGGCACCTGTAATCCCAGCTACTTGGGAGGCTGGGGCAGGAGAATTGCTTGAACCTGGGAGGCGGAGGTTGCAGTGAGCTGAGATTGAGCCACTGTACTCCAGCCTGGGTGACAGAGTGAGACTCTGTGACAAAAAAAAAAAAAAAAAATTAGTAACATGGGCCGGCGCGGTGGCTCATGCCTGTAATCCCACCACTGTGGGAGGCCAAGGCGGGTGGATCACGAGGTCAGGAGTTCCAGACCAGCCTGGCCAACATGGTGAAACCCCATCTCTACTAAAAATACAAAAAAAGTAGCCGGGCACAGTCATGGGCGCCTGTAATCCTAGCTACTTGGGAGGCTGAGGCAGGAGAATTGCTTGAAGCGGGAAGGCAGACATTGCAGTGGGCCGAGACCAGGCCACTCTGCACTCCAGCCTGAGGGACAGAGCAAGACTCGGTCTCAAAATAAATAAATAAATAAATCAGTAACAAGATGACAACCCAATTAAAAAAAAAAGGAAAAATATTTGAAAGACATTTTACAAAAGAAGATCTATGGATAGTCAATAAGCACATGAAAAGATGCTTCGTATCATCAGTCATTAGGAAAATGCAAATGAAAGCTGTAATAAGATACCACTTAAAATCCAGCCAAATGAATAAGACAGATCATCAGGAGTGTTGGTGAGGATGTGGACAAATTGGAGCCCTCATACACTCTGGTGGAAATGTAAAGTGGGAATTCACCTTGGAAAGCAGTTGTACAACACCTCAAAAAGTTACACATACAGAGTTACCATATGACAGTAATTCCACTCATAGATATACACCCAGGAAAACTGAAAACACATGTTCATACAAAAACTTGTACCCATCTTCATAGCAGCATTATTCATAATAGCTAAATACTGTACTGTATTTACTGTAATACAATTACAATTAGTACAATTAAACACTATCATTAAATACTGGAAGAAATCCAAATGTCTGTTAACTGGTACTGTTAAATAAATAAAATGTGGTCTTGCCATCGAGTGGATTATTACCTAGCAACAAAAAGGAATGAAGTAATGAGACATACTACAACATGGGTGAACCTCAAAAACATTATGCTAAGTAAAAGAAACCAGATGCAAAGGATCACATATTGTGTAATTCCATTTACATGCCCAGAAAAGGTAAATTTATAGACAGAAAGTTTTTTAGTGAGTGGGGCTGGGGATAGGAAACCAGGACTTGCCTGCAAATGGGCACAAAGTATTTTTTTAGGAAGATGAAAATTTTCTGAAATTGGAATGTGGTGATGGTTGTACAACTCTATTATATTTTCTAAAACAATCATTGAGTTATATCCTTAAATGAACCTTATAATATATAAATTATACTTCATTAAAGCTGGTAAAAAATAGGTATGAAACCGCAATGCAGTTTCATGTGTAATTCTGGTTTTTATACATCTTATGACAAGACTTTTATAAAGATGGGGCAACCATGATTCCCCAAAACAATGTGGCAGAAGTCCCCAAAAATCTTAAGAAGTAAACTCAATGCTTTCGAAGACTACAAAGAAATGCATCAAAATTTATATTATTCAGCAATGATAAGGTAAATGTATTTGGGTAAGAAGCAGGGTTACTCATCTGTGTGCCAGTATTTACAGTATGAGGCCCCTTAGCTTCTGGTCTCTGTTCTTGTAGTCATCTTAAATTGCACTGTCAGTTTTATCGTCTTCAAATATTACTTTCATAAGGTGTGCCTCCTGTTCCAGACACAGGACCAAAACCCTTGATTTTGGGAATTCTAGCTTTTCATTTTTCTCATGCTGTTTTTATAAATTTTTAACCAAAGTTTCCAAATGAACCTTCTGCTGCAGTCAGAGCCAGCTCTTCCTTGGGCTGCACATACTTGCTAACAACTCACTCACTAGTAGGGATGCCACTTCCCTTCTTTCCTCTCTGAAATTCTGCCCATTGCTCAGGCCCAAATTGAGTCTTACCCATACTGTGAAGCCTTCTCTGAATAATTCATCTCACATTGAGCTGAGCTCCTGAAGTATCTGTGCTCTACAACAGTCATCTGGGCATTAAGAACTGTTCAGAAGTTTTAGTTTAAATGTTCTGAGCCTCATTTGTCCCTGTTCTTGAGGGGCTGGATTTTATTACTTTATATTCCCCTATATAGATTAACAGAAGCAACTCAAGAAATAGTTATTCATGTTTATCTATGTTTCCCTGATAAATTCTCTTTTATATTTGTTTTAATTTAAAATGCCATTTTTGAAAATACGATGCTAGATTTCTTTTTTGAGAATTTATCCTTACATGCTGATTCTGCTTCAGGTATCTATAGTATGTTTTATTTAGCCATTAGCAGATCTGTCCCTGGATTCCCTAATCCACAGATATACACAAAATTTGGGTTCAAGCAACTCTATTTTCTCTTATATCTTTTAATAGATGCATTATCTATTATACCAGGCATGACAATATACAAAAAAAAATTCATTTAAAAATTACAATATTACTAAATGTCCTTCTAAATCCCCATTTAAGCAACAAAAACGAAGCACAGATTCTTAAAGTAGAAAATGATCTATAGTTAATCTTACTATCTTGCCTCCTTTACTTTTCAAAAATCCACTGATAATCTGGGCGTGATGCTTTCAAACCTTACCCTAAAGAGAAAAATACTCTCGGAACACTTCTTCCTGCTATCTTTAAATTGTGCTTGTATTTTTCTCTGCTTTTCTTTTGACACTCAATCACTCCTTTAAAACTTGTAAAAACAACAACAACAACAACAAAAAACAAAAACAAAACCGTAAAAGTTTCTGTAACTCTCCAATCTCCAACTATGTCGTAAAATCCTTTGCCGGTTTACCCAGTCTGCTGGGGAGGCTCACCGTTTCTTTTTCGAGCGAATGACACAGTTGTCTTGGCAGCGTGACTTGCCCTTTTGGTTCCTGCTTTATCAGTTTGGTGATTCTTTGTACAGATTGATAACCATGAAAAAGTCTAAAGTAGGGCAGTTCCGGAGCAGCTTTTTCCCGTAAAGCAAGGGGGTACCTCACAAAACTCCAGGCAAAAGAATGAATGATAGGGCACTCACCAATAGCGAGTGGAGAAGAGTATTTTGTCGAAGTTTGCAAACCAATCCTTGGGAGCCAGAGGTGGGAATTTTAAAATGAGGTCTTTTCCTTGGAATTTGCTTAAAGGGGTATCGCTGCCTGTTGCTATTGAAGTTTGTCAAAGAATGTAAAATCACCAGCTTAGAGAATTTTTTTCCCCCTTCAAGAGAGACAAAACGTGCAAATTGATTCTCTGCAAATTGGGAGAACTTCTAAGAGTGGGGTCATAGGATACTCTCACATATAATCACTTGGTAACTTTTGTGTCAATCTGGGGAGGAGGTGAAAGTAATTTTAACATGATTCGTTTTTCATGATCAAATATCAGATACTAAATGAATGCATTGAAAAACGGTATTCCCCTTTTAAAAAAAAGAAATGAAAACTATGAGGCTAACATTATTTTGAAAAAACTGTTCTATTGTTAATCTTCTTTCTTTTTTGGGGGGTGTACCTCTTCATATATTAGCAGCAAGTCTTATTATTTGGGTTGACCACAAAAGTATCTTTGTTTTTACACAAAATGTGGATTTCCTCATTTTAAGACCAGCAAAAAATTTGAGTGCCACGAATTCTTAAGTATTATGAAACTATCTTAGAAATACATGACATATACTGTGCTCTATACCTGAGTAGCTCTTGAAGACCAAATTTAACAGATAACTGATAAATATTATAACTCATACCTTGTTTTGAAACCAATGTTTTTTATTTAATGTAACTCTGCTTTCTAGGTTATTCATCTCTAAGAGTAATTAAGTCAGCCACTGTAAAACTGCTTCATTATAAAGTTAAGGTTCCTTGACAAGGAGCCTCGCAAATTAACAGACAGGCTTTTCACGGAACAAAAAACATCAGCGATTGCAGTAGAGGAAAATACTTTAAAACCTTCATTTCAGAAGGAAATTTGTCATATTGAGACACTTTAAAAAGTGTCTCTTAAAAATGTTTCCGAACTATGCTTCCAAGCATTTTTAACAGCATAAAACTCTCTTTCTTTGATGCTATTTCGCTGACATAATTTTTGTCTTGAAGAAATACATAATGACAGCCTACTCAGTCATGCTAGGAACTGTCATTGTATTTAACTCTCTAAATTGTTCCTGTCCTTTGTAGCAATCTTTTCTCACAATAAACCTTGGGTGCTTGAAGGGCAGAGACTAGGTTACCTCCTCCTCATCTTTGTTATCTACCAGTGCGCAGTGACCCCTTAAATCTAGTGCTTAGACTCACTACTTGCTAACATTGCTTTCGTTACATAAACTCACTGGCCTGTTTTTCAACCGTCAGACTGGTGCTGTTAGTCCCTGTGTCACGGGATTGCTGTCAAGGGTTCAACGAGATAATCTATAAACAGCTCTTAGAATGAACGCTCAACGTGGGATCATTGCTGTAATCCCTCAACGTGTGCTACTGAATGAGAGGCCGAGTGACTGAATGAATGTATGAATGAAGGAACAGGCCAGTAACTGGCGGCTCCCGAGGTTGGAGCCGGCTAAATTACCCCTTCAAAACGCTAAACAAAAAGCCACTCCGTGGACATCAAAACCCACGCCGGAGCCGGAAGCAAGAGTAGAGCCGCGGGCGGGGCCAGAATAGAGGAAGTCGCGCTCTCGGCCAATAGACATATCGCTTGGCAAACGAACATTTTCCCACACCTATCGTGAAAGCGCGAGAACACAGGGGGTTATCGCGAGGTTCCCTGCTCCTCTCCCGCTCCCTCTTCTCCAGCTCCCACTAGCGCGGGTTCCGCTCCGCCCCCGGGGCCCCGCCCCCGACGCCCGGCGTTCCGCCCCGCCCCCGCCCGGCTCCCTGCCCCGCCCCGCCCGCAGTCCCCCGCTTGCCTTCCAGCGCAGCTTGCGCTCCGGAGCGCTGGCTCTGCTGGCGCTAAGGTGAGTAGAGCTGTCCGCTTCGTCGGGTGGTTCAAGTGGCAGGGCTCTCTGACCTGGCCCCCGGGGGGGACGCCCCAGACCTGGTCCTGCCAAAGCGTCCGGGTCGCGGCGAGTGGGACAGCGGGGCCGTCCGGGCCTCGGGTGGCCACAGCTGCTGGGTCCTTCTCGCACTCTGCGGCCCGCGGCCCCTGGGACCTGAGAACCCTGATACCGGGTCCGTGAAATCCCTGCTGCTGGGCTCACTGCTTCCCAACTGTAACGATCTCAGTGGCTGGCTAACTCGGGCGAAACGGCGTGTGTTTTGCCTAAGACTCTGCCAGTGTTTATTACCACTGAGCTGAGAAAATAGCCTTTTACAAATGCTTTTAATATGTAGCTTATAGTTCTCTCATCTCCAGCGTTAGGAAATTGGAATGCGTATTCTACTAAATTGAGTACGGGCAAGTCAGTCTAAGGGACTCCTTTCTTTCAAAATATTCCTTAATATGTGTGGAATTTTGTTGAGAGGTTTTTGATTTTTTTGTTTTGTTTTTAATAAGATAGATTGGTGTTCACTTGTCAGGAAGCTCGTGTGTAGGTGCAGCTGTATACAGCTGATATTAAGTAATACTGTTTGCCTTAACTACGTAAGAGGTAGTATAACTATACAAGAGGTAGTTTGCTTAACTAGGTTAAGATGTAGTAAAGTGAAATGGAGTAAGAAAATTACCTTGTTAAAGGCTGTGTATGGCCTGTGAATGCATACTGCAAAACTATGAGCATTGTTGATGCTTTATTGTCATTATTGGCAGTTTTAGGATTTCATTTGTTTAGATTTTATCTCCCAAACAGCCTTTGTAGCAATTTTAACAGAGTTTAATGGTGTTTTTGAGGCAGCCAATCCCAGCTAGAACATTCAGAAGGAAAGCCGTCAGGTTACAGGGAATCTCTTACTGAATCTTGCCTCAGTGAGTGTGGTTTTGCATTGTAGGGCGGCGGTGCACAGGCTTTGCAGTCGGTTCACCTGCGATGGAACTATGGCATGTTACCCTCCGAGAAACTCAGTTTCCTCCTCTGCAAAACGGGCTACATATGTCTATTGCAATGCACGATTGTAAAGATTAGACATCCTTGTGGCATGTAGCAAGCTTATAGGCTCTATCCGTGGTGTTGACATAGGTGGATGGGAAATCAACCTTGCAATGTTCTTCCACATGTCATCAGATATTAGAAGGCTTACTTTAAAATTTTATTTTAAGTTCCTGGATACATGTGCAGAATATGCCGGTTTGTTACATAGGTAAACTTGTGCCTTGGTGATTTACTGCACCTATCAACCCATCACCTAGGTATTAGGAAGGGTTACTTTTAGTTATTGTGCTAGATGCAGGTATGCAAGCGTGAAGAAAACAACACAGTCCCTGCCCTCAGGATTTCTAAATAAGTTTCTGAAGAGTTTATTTGCAGGCTTTTTGGCTTTATTGACAATAAACAGGTGCAACGATAAATATTTAAGTGACAAATTGTGAGGAGTCCTACGAAGGAAAAACAAACAGCCAAGTTCCTCTGAAAGAACACCAGGGGAGTACTTTGGGATAGGGAAGTGATTTTTTTTTTTTTTAAGACCGAGTCTCTGTCGCCCAGGCTGGAGTGCAGTGGTGCGATCTCGGTTTACTGCAAGCTCTGCCTCCCGGCTTCAAGCGATTCTCCTGCCTCAGCCTCCCGAGTGGCTGGGATTACGGGCACCTGCCACCACACCCAGCTAATTTTTGTATTTTTAGTAGAGATGGGGTTTTGCCAAGTTGGCCAGTCTGTTCTCAAACTCCTCACCTCAGGTGATCCACCCTCCTCGGCCTCCCAGAGTGCTGGGATTACAGGTGTGAGCCACCGCAGCTGGCCTCGGGAAGTGATTTTTATGTTGAAATCTGGAGAATGATGGGACATTGCTTTCTAGGCTAAGAGGAGAGCAGCAAGTGCTGTTAGGGGTTTGGTAGCTTTAAGGATTGGAAAAACCCAGAAGCTTGGTGAGAAGCCAAGCAGAGTTGCTGGAGAAGTGGGTGGGGGCAGATGGTGAGGCACCCTCAAGGCCTGGTATGGGTTTGATTTTCTGAATAAGAGGTTTCTGAAGGGTTTATTTAGTAAGATGTGTGCCGGGAAGAGTGAGATGTAATTGGATGTACATTTTTAAAGGCCCACTGCTGGGATTAATGAATTGGAAGTGACTAGAGTGGACACAGGGAGACCACTAATACAGTTGGCCAGGCAGGAAATGACAGTGGCTTGTGGTTTTGGCAGATGGAGAGATTTGGATGGATTTGAGATGTCTTTGGGAGATGGAAGCCACTAGCCTTGTGATAGATTGGAGGTGGTCAGAATATGAGAGGATGGAATCATTCATGACTTCCTGCTGGTGGATGGAGGGGTGGGTCATTTATTGAGATGGGAAAAACTATGGAGATTTGGATTGATGATGAAAATGGAAAGCTCTTTGAGTGTGTTAAGTTTGAGATGGTTGTGAGACATCTCAACTGCTAACAGTTTACTAGTTCAGTGAATAATTACCTAAAAAGTTTCATTTTCTTCACAGAATCATTGATGTTATTTGTAGTCTACTTCCCTTTGCTTTACAGATAGGAGAATTAAGATGTGGAAAGATATATCTTGTACAAAGTCACATAATATATGTCATAAAATAGGTGAGTAGGTGGAATAAATGTGGGAAAGTATTGGATCCTTATGTTGCTTTGGAAATAGTTAATATTTCATACTTTGCCTTTTTATGTAAAATGGCAAGTGCTAACTCATTAGCTAGGAATTAGAATTTGGAAATAATAAAATATAACCAGAAAATTACAGAACTTTTGTTTATTGAAAGCTTATGTTGCTGCATTTTGTACTAATTTGGTATTAATTCCCAGTGAAAATCACTTTCCTTAAGAAAAAAAAAAAATATTGAAAGGTACTTTCCAAGAGAGAGTTGGGAAAAAGTGCTGAGGAAAATAGTCAAATCTTTAAGCAAAGTTCAACTTCTTTGTAGTTGTTTCAGCATTTCCTTAGTATCCTGTGGAATCTTGTGAGTCGGTGTCTGTAAAGAACCCAAACTTTGAAATTCATTGGACCTGGCATCAAACCCTTGCTTTTATCCCTTGTGAACGGTTTGACCTTGGACAAATTACTGAAGCCTTTAGTTTGTTTCTTTTTGTGTTAACTGATGGTGAAGTTTGTTTTAGCTCTGTGCCTAGTGGATAAAATGGCAAATGTTACTTGTGTTGTTGCCCTTGTCAATTTTGGAGCTAGAAGAGAATTTATAATAATCTGCCCTGGACTCAGGCCTGTAAACCAGTACATTAGTTGCTATCTCCTTTCTATATATTAGGCAACTGGAGACCCAGAGACATTGTAGTATTATAGAATAATACAGGATTCTTGTTTCTGAGTGCAGTGTTTCTTCTTTCATTGAAATAATTTAAAATAATGAAACTGTGTGGCCCTGGATCTATTTCTTTGATGCCTCTGATAATCCATAAAGCTAAAAACAAAGAGGCGAGGCACAGTGGCTCACACCTGTAATCCCAGCATTTGGGGAGGCTGAGGTGGGAGGATTGCTTGAACTCAGGAGTTTGAGACTAGCCTGGGCAACACAGTGAGACCCCCATCTCTAAAACAAATAAAACAATTTGCTGAGTGTGGTGGTGCTGCCTATGGTAACGGCTGCTTGGGAGGCTGAGGTGAGAGGATCACTTGAGCACAGAAGTTGAGGCTACAGTGAGCTATGATTGAGCCACTGCAGCCTAGCCTGGGCAACAGAGTGAGACCCTGTCTCTAAAAACAAAATAAGAAGAAAGAAAAGAATAAAGAGATAAAGAAAAAAATCAGAATATAGGACAATATTTACATACTAGGACGTGAAGAAAATGAAGCTATTAATGCTCTAGATATAAATAATATATATTTTAATATTTTTGAAGTACCTTAAGCTAAATACAAAATGAGGTAGTTCATAAAAGAAATGGGGTTTGCTGCATTTGATTTTTAAGCTTCTCCTTTGGTTGCATGTTATGAAACTGGTCACTGTTTTTCTTAGACAAGGGTTCCTATCTCAAGTGCAAAAACTATTTTTTCCATTAGGACTATTTCTAATAAATAATAAATATTGTTTAATCAGAGTATTTTTATTAAATTGTTATTCATTTTAATCTCCTCCTAAATATGTGTGACAATTTTAGTTGTTATGAAAATAAAATGTAGGATTGAATGTATTAATATAATTATCTTTTTCAGTGTCTTCAAGTAGCTCTGGGTGCTAACTGGTTTATGTGGCAATGCTTGTAAAAAATCTTATAATGAATAAATTTTCTTGTTCTCTTTATAGAAATGGACCAATTTTGACAAGATATAGTACTGCAGTGTGCCTGATGGGATATATTCAGTCATGGCGTCCGAACTTTGTAAGACGATCTCTGTGGCAAGGCTGGAAAAGCACAAGAATTTGTTCTTAAATTATAGGAATCTGCACCATTTTCCATTGGAGTTACTGAAAGATGAGGGACTGCAGTACTTGGAGAGACTCTATATGAAAAGGAACTCCCTGACAACCTTGGTACAGTATTATATTACACTACAAAAAATTATTTATACGTGTGGTCCTGATCAAGATACATTTACATACCCTAAGGCATTCAGACCAAGACTTATATCCCCTGTTGTTATATATACGGTTAATATAAATGCACACACAGGGGTTTCTCATTGGCTATGAATTTGTTATCCAAGTTCGTGCAGTTATGAGGTTGCAAGGGAAGTTGTGAAGGAAAGCAAAATATTCACTCATGTATGACTTATCAAATTAGTACCCATTCAAAAACCTGTCTTCATTGAGCATGTGCTTCTGTCCTGACTTGTAATTTGTTTGTATGTTAAGCTTCTCAGGTGATTCTTGGATATTACAGCATTCACTAGACCAGTTAAAAAGTAAACAAGAGAAAGACCAACAGTGCTTTTGAGATACAGGTATTAAAAGGAGAGTGATTTGAAAATTAAAGCATTAAGAGAGGCACTAGGGAAGCTTAATGTAACTTTTGAGTGTTTTGAAAACAAAACCTTTATGATTGGCCTGTGAAAATCAAATGACTTTGAATTGGGCTAGCATACAATTTTTTGGAAAAAATTTTGCCACAAAGACAACATTTAATTTGCTCTTTTTATGTTCTAAGAATAAGCACATAGTTTTTATTATAATCTGAATTGTATTACATATAAGATAAACTAAAAGTTTTTCAAAAGAATGTCCAAATCAAGCTTTTTATTCCCATTATTTTGTAAAACTTGGACTCTGTATTAAATGGATTTACTTTGTATGGCCTTGTCTGGTTATCACTTAACCTTATTTGAATCTTGTACTTGAATTCTAGTTCTTACTCATTTTAGAAGATTTATGAAATCTTACTACTTTGTGAATTCACCCATTCTTCATTCCCTTCGCTATATTGGACTTTGCTAAATATCTGGAAAGTGTATCTTATTGGCTTCATGTACATGGCATGTTTTCCTGGAAAAGTTTTATTTAATCTGTGTACAATGCCTATAGTGGGTAGAAAGCATTGTAAAATTAGTTTATCTTTGCTCTGTCTGGAAGTAAATAGATAAGTATGTTTTGTTCTTTTGTGATTAGCATATTGGCATATATGTTGAATGCCTACTTATATTTCTGAAATTAGATTTTTCAGTTTTCCAACTTGGAAAATCTATATGCAGTTATAGGAATCCTTTTTTGCAAAGTCATCATCTCATGATATGAAACCATATTAGTATTTTTTTAGCCCTTTAATGAGAAGTGGTATAAGAAATATTTTGACAAGGATTATAGCCTAGATTTTCCCATGTTTGCTCTTTATGTATAAAGAAAAATTTGTGAGTGGATTACTTATTAACTATCTACCATAGCCCAATGGGGTAGACTTTGTTCAGAGAATTGACCTTTGCTTATAAAAGTTAAATTTGTGGGCGGACCATGCGGCTGGAGGTGTGACTATCAGCCCAGGAGTGAGAGGGCGGAGGCAGCTCTTGCAATCGAAAGGGACTTGAGACTCACCAGCCGCACGCCATGAAGGCCCTGTGGGTGCTGGGCCTCTGCCGTGTCCTGCTGACCATCGGGTCGGTCAGAGCTGATGATGAAGTTGATGTGGATGGTACAGTAGAAGAGGATCTGGGTAAAAATAGAGAAGGTTCAAGGACAGACGATGAAGTAGTACAGAGAGAGGAAGAAGCTATTCAGTTGAATGAATTAAATGCATCATAAATAAGAGTCCGAAAAGTTTGCCTTCCAAGCTGAAGTTAACAGAATGATGAAACTTCTCATCAATTCGTTGTATGAAAATAAAGAGATTTTCCTGAGAGAACTGATTCTGAGGCTTTAGATAAGATAAGGCTAATATCACTGACTGATGAAAATGCTCTTTCTGGAAATGAGAAACTAACAGTCAAAATTAAGTGCGATAAGGTGAAGAATCTGCTGTGTGTCACAGACACTGGTGTAGGAATGACCAGAGAAGAGTTGGTTAAAAACTTTGGTACCATTGCCACATCTGGGACAAACAAGTTTTTAAACAAAATGACTGAAGCACAGGAAGATGGCCAGTCAACTTCCTGAATTGATTGGCCAGTTTGGCGTCGGTTTCTATTCCACCTTCCTTGTAGCAGATAAGGTTATTTTCACTTCAAAACACAACAATGATACCCAGGACATCTGGGAGTCCAACTCCAGTGAATATTCTGTAATTGCTGACTCAAGAGGAGACACTCTAGGACGGGGAACAACAATTACCCTTGTCTTAAAAGAAAAAGCATTTGATTACCTTGAATTGGATACAATTAAAAATCTTGTCAAAAATATTCACAGTTCGTAAACCTTCCTATTTATGTATGGAGCAGCAAGACTGGAACTGCTGAGGAGCCCATGAAGGAAGAAGCAGCAGCAAAAGAAGAGAAAGAAGAATCTTATGATGAAGCTATAGAAGAAGAAGAAAGAAAGAGAAGGAGAAAGGAGAAAGGAGAAAGGGAAGAAGAAGAGAAGAAGGAGAAGGAGAAGAAGAAGAAAGAAGAAAAGGAGGAGAAAAGAAACCGAAGACTAAAAAAGTTGAAAAACCTGTCTGTGAATGGGAACTTATGAATGATATCAAACCAATATGGCAGAGACCATCCAAAGGAGTAGAAGATGAATACAAAGCTTTCTGCAAATCATTTTCAAAGGAAAGTGATGACACTGTGGCTTATATCCACTTTACTGCTGAAGGGGAAGTTACCTTCAAATCAATTTCATTTGTACCCACATTTGTTCCACGTGGCCTATTTGACACATATGGATCTAAAAAGAGCAATTACATTAAGCTCTATGTGCGCTGCGGATTCATCACAGATGACTTCCATGTTATGGTGCCTAAGTACGTTAATTTTGTCAAGGGTGTGGTGGACTCAGATGGTCTCTTTGAATGTTTCCTGCAAGACTCTTCAGCAACATAAACTGCTTAAGGTGATTAGGAAGAAACTTGTCCGTAAAACTCTGCGCATGATCAAGAAGATTGTTGATGAGAAATACAATGATACTTTTTGGAAAGAATTTGGTACCAACATTAAGCTTGGCGTGATTGAAGACCACTCGAATCGAACACATCTTGCTAAACTTCTTAAGTTCCAGTTTTCTCATCATCCAACCGACATTGCTAGCCTACACCAGTATGTGGAAAGAATGAAGGAAAAACAAGACAAAATCTACCTCATGGCTGGGTCCAGCAGAAAAGAGGCTGAATCTTCTCCATTTGTTTAGCGACTTCTGAAAAAGGGCTATGAAGTTATTTACTTCACAGAACCTGTGGATGAATACTGCATTCAGGCCCTTCCCGAATTTGATGGGAAGAGGTTCCAGAATGTTGCCAAGGAAGGAGTGAAGTTTGATGAAAGTGAGAAAACTAAGGAGAGTCATGAAGCAGTTGAGAAAGAATTTGAGCCTCTGCTCAATTGGATGAAAGATAAAGCCCTTAAGGGCAAGATTGAAAAGGCTGTGGTATCTCAGTGCCTGACAGAATCTCCATGTGCTTTGGTGGCCAGCCAGTACGGGTGGTCTGGCAACATGGAGAGAATCATGAAAGCACAAGTGTACCAAACGGGCAAGGACATCTCTACAAATTACCATGTGAGTCAGAAGAAAACATTTGAAATTAATCCCAGACATCCGCTGATCAGAGACATGCTTCAACGAATTAAGGAAGATGAAGATGATAAAACAGTTTTGGATCTTGCTATGGTTTTGTTTGAAACAGCAGTGCTCCAGTCAGGATATCTTTTACCAGACACTAAAGCATATGGACATAGAATAGAAAGAATGCCTTGCCTCAGTTTGAACATTGATCCTGATGCAAAGATGGAAGAACCCAAAGAAGAACCTGAGGAGACAACAGAAGACGCAGAGCAAGACAAAGACAAAGAAATGGATATGGGAACAGATGAAGAACAAGAAACAGCAAAGGAATCTACAGCTGAAAAAGATGAATTGTAAATTATACTCTCACTGTTTGGATCCTGTGTGGAGAGGGAATGTGAAATTTAAGTCATTTCTTTTGGGAGAGACTTGTTTTAGATGCACCCCACCAGTCCCCTTCTCCCTGCACTGTTAAATGTGGGATTATGGGTTACAGGAAGAAGTGGGTTTTTTAGTTGAATTTTTTAAACATAACTTATTTGTACTATTTAACTGACTATTCTTGATGTAAAATCTTGTCATGTGTATAAAAATAAAAAAGATTCCCCCCCCACCAAAAGTTAAACTTTTGGTCTTGTCATAGTTTCTCAGCTTCAGTTTTTTATTTATGAAAATAAGAATCTACTGTCCAGTAAATTGATGTTTATAATAGCTTATGGTAATACATTTTATTTCTCTGCAACCTTTTTAATCATCAAAGATTAAATTGTTGTGTATGTTTATAATTATGTATATATTTTACTTTAATTGTTTTCTCTTAGCTGGAATATTTGATTTATGTATATCAAAGAACTTTGTAAACTATAAAGTGCTGTACAGATATGAGGAGATGGTGGGAATAGTAGCAGTCATCCCAAAGCCTGCGCATTGCCTGATTATATCAGATACATGACAGCTTACAGCGCAGTTTTTGAAAACAGGTAAAACATTACTTTTCCTAGAGTGCTCAAAACTAGTAGTGATTCTTAGGGCTTTTGGAATATTTGCTGATGTTAAAATACAGTTCCTAAAAGAGAGTAATATGTGCAGTTTTATTTACAACTGCAATACTGTCCAAAACTGGGGAAAACATTATTGAAAATGTATAGTATCTCGAATATATTATTGCTTAATTGGCCTTTTACTTACGGATTTTAAACAAGCTTGAGAATCTGTCAGTCACTTCCATGTTCATGTTGTTTTAGTGTTTCTTAACATTGTTTTTTTTGTTTCCTGTTAACATTTTTGCATGTGTGTTAAACGCCTTCTCTCAGCATTTTCCTCCTTTCCTCTCCCACCCCTCAGCATATTAGGCCTCTTGCTGAGAATAGAAGTTGTCGCTAATACACAACCTCTACCCTTCTCCCTTTTGCCCCTTAGTTGCTCAGAGCCATGTAGTGGCTTGTATTTGTAGGATGATTGCATGGCAAAAGTCCAGAACTTGGCGAGTGCTCATATTTAGAACTAAAGCACAAGAAAAAGCCTTTTTGCACATTTAAAAGAATAAACTTTGCAATTACAAAACTGGTATATGCCCTTATGTCAAACAACATAGAGGAGTATCTGGAAAGCAATCCTCTCTTTTTCGAGTTTGTGAAGCAACCAACATTAATATAGTTGGATTGTATCCTTCTGCTTTGGTTCATTCATGCTGCCATAACAAAACACCATAAAATCAGTGGCTTATAAACAAATTTATTTCTTACTGCTCTGGAGGTGGGGAAGTACAAGATCATGGTGCTAGCAGATTCGGTGTCTGGTGAGGTCTTTCTTACTGGATCGTAGATGGTGCCTTCTTGCTGTGTTCTCACATGGTGGAAGGGGTCAAGGGTCTCTCCCCAAACTCTTTTAAAGGACACCAATTCCATTCATAAGGGCTCTGCTGTCATATCTAATTGCCTCCCAAAGGTCCCACCTCTTATTTTTATTTTTATTTTTGAGATAGAGTTTCACTCTTGTTGCCCAGGCTAGAGTGCAACAGCTCTATCTCGGCTCACGGCAACCTCTGCCTCCCAGATTTAAGTGATTCTCCTGCCTCAGCCTCCCGAGTAGCTTGGATTACAGGCATGCACCACCACGCCCAGCTAATTTTGTAATTTTAGTAGAGATGGGGTTTCTCCATGTTGGTCAGGCTAGTCTTGAAGTCCCGACCTCAGGTGATCCACCCACCTCGGCCTCCCAAAGTACTAGGATTGCAGGTGTGAGCCATCATGCCCAGCTGGTCCCACCTTCTAACACCATCATCATCTTGGGGTTTAGAATTTTAATGTATGAATTTGGGGAAACACAAACATTCAGACTATACCACCTTCCACCTCCTTGCTTGTGTTTATGTAATTATATATATATTCTGTTTGTATTTTTCCTTTTTTAATAACAAAAATAAAATCATACATATTTCTCTGGAAGTCTCTTTTTTCATTTCATGATATTCTCATTCCACTAACCTCTAGGCCACTAGATATATGTACATTCTTGTATGTATATGTATGTTTATATTTAGGATAGCCTAAAAAGTAGGATTGTTGGACTAAAGGGTAGACACGTTTTATATTTCAAAAGACTTTTGGCCAGTCATGGTGGCTCATGCCTATAATCCTAGCACCTTGGGAGGCCAAGGCGGGCAGATCACTTGAAGTTAGGAGTTTGAGACCAGGCTGGCCAACATGGTGAAACCCCGTCTCTACCAAAAATATAAAAATTAGCTAGGCATGGTGGTACACGTCTGTAGTCCCAGCTACTTGGGAGGCTGAGGCAGGAGAATCACTTGAACCTGCAAGGTTGAGTTTGCAGTAAGCTGAGATTATGCCACTGCACTCCAGCCTGGGCAACAGAGTGAGACTCAGTCTCAAAAAAAACTTTTTTAAAGCAATATTTGATTATCATTTATTTGTATAGCTGAGAAACCTTAAAACTTTTTGTTTTGTTTTGAGACAGGGTCTTGCTCTGTTGCCCAGGCCGGAGTACAGTATATACTCCTGGCTCACTGCAGCCCTGACCTCCTGAGCTCAAGTGAGCTTCCTGCCTCAGCTTCCTGAGTAGCTGGGACTACAAGCACACATCACCACACCATACACAGCTAAGTTTTACAACTTTTTATAGAGATGGGGTCTTGCTGTGTTGCCCAGGCTGATCTCGAACTCCTGGGCTCAAGTGATCCTCCTGCCTTAGCCTCCCAAAGTGCTGAGATTACAGTGAGCCACTGTGCCTGGCCAGAACTTTCTTTTTAAACATAAGCTGGTTTATATTGAAATCTAGTTACATAGTTGATAGGTGAACAAGAAGTAGTTGTGGGGGCCGGGTGCAGTGGCTCATGCCTGTAATCCTAGCACTTTGGGATGCTGAGGCAGGCGGATCACTTGAGCTCAGGAGTTCAAGACCAGCCTGGGCAACATCACAAAATCCTCTCTCTATAAAAAATACAAAAAAAAAAAAAAAAAAAAAAAAAAGCTGGTTGTGGTGGCGTGTGCCTGTAGTCCCTGCTACTTGGAGGGTCTGAGATGGGAGGATCGCTTGAGCCCAGGAAGTTGAAGCTGCCGTGAGCCAACATCATGCCCCTCCACTTCAGCCTGGGTGACAAAGTGAGACCCTGTCTCAAAAAAAAAAAAGTAGTTAAGAAACGTGATTTTTCTTCCTATCTTCCTATGATTTACCTTAGAAAATGTTTTAAATACTTTTTCCATAATTATTTTAAATGCAATTCAGGAATTAAGTCAGATCTTTATGATCATTTTAAGATAAATAAGATATTAGGAGTAATATAGGGTCTGGGTTTGTCACATGATAGGTATTCATGTAGTGGTAGAATTAAATAAATGAATGTAAAGTAGAATTGCATAAAGACCATATTATAAGAGTTCCAGACTGAGAGCTTTCAAAAGCAGGAACTGTATCTTGCATTCTGTACCTTCAGTGCCTGGCTTACTGCTTAACATGTGTAGTACACATAATTTCATTCTATGTAGCAGCATTGTAGAATATTTTAAAAATAAGATCCTATTTGTATGACACTGAAGACTGACTTTGACAGGCACTTAGGAGGAAGAGCATCATTCAATTAGTGTGTATTTGTTGAGTACTTACTGTGTACCCATCATTCTTCAAGACATTGACGATAGGTATATCATGGAATAGCTGCTTCTTCTCATGGAATTTTCATTTGTTGGCATTTCAAGTTTAAGGGAAGAAGATGAACTAAGACTCAGTGGCACAATGTTCGAGGGACAAGTCTACATACCTGTTTCGCTTGCCTTGAGCAGTGGTTTTATAGGTTCTATTGGAAGTAAAAGCTCAGGGCCACAAAGAAAACGAGCACTCAGAATTTCTCAGCAAGGCCAATTTTCTTCTGCGGAAGAGTGTGGCTCATAGGCCTAGCCACCATGAGAACACACAGAACAAAGGAGAACAACGCAGATTCTGTCCTGTGTCTTTCCCCCATTGGCTGGGGTTGGACCACACAATCTAAACTAGTCCCGATTGGCTAAACATTTAAACTTTCTTAGACAAGGTAGGCACATGATAGAGGAGAGAGGGAGGGGAGGAAGGGGTCACCTACAGGTGACTAGAAAGCTAACCTATTTCCACATAAGGAAACAGGGCTGTGGCATGTCTAGGTGTATTTAGACAGGTTAAAGCTCAGCAAAAGGGGGGAGTGGGGGCTGGAACTTGGAATAAATAACAGGGGAACTGGACAAACTGTTTGAAGAGGAACCTAGCTGTATCTAAGAGTTCCACAGAACCTCAGGTTTACTGAGCAATGCTGAGGTGGGGACTGAGCAATAGTCTATCTCCACTTAAGCGGAAGCAGCTCTTCTTTTGTTTGAGTATTGATGTTCTCTATGGAAACCCCCTCATAGATGGGATATGCAGAGAGGACCTCTAGTAAACAGATGGGTAGATAGGTCTTGAAGTTTGGCTGTGATATGGGATGGGCATAGTGGGGGAGAATTTGACAACAAAGGAGATTTTTCTTCTCTTCTTCCCTTTTCTTTTCCGTTTCCTTTCCCCCCTCTCTTCTGTTTTCTAAGAGGACAGAGTAAATGCTGATAGGAAGTTCCCATTAGACAGGAGTTGAACCTCTGGAAAAAGGGAATAATTAAAAGTCCAAGTTTCCTAAGAATGGGCTCCAGAGTACACATGGAAGGATTGACCTTGGGAATATATCCTTTCCTCCTTTGTAAAAGTAAAGAAAGGGAGGACAGGTGGAAAGACAGATGGACACTGAGGGAGAGAGAGGCAGTTGAGAGAGTTTTTGTCTGATGCTTTTACCAGGTCAGACCATCTGCTTGGGAATGAACATTTGGGGAGAGGGCAGGTTGGAAGACTCACATGGCAGTTTGGCTAGAGAAAGATAGAATTGTTGGGTGTTATTTACAAGCAGTTGGTGATTAAGCTTATGGTGGAATCTGCTTGTTTAGGGAACTTTCTCTTGCTGTACTCAGCTGTCTGAGGTATGGAGAAGGAAGACTCTGGCATTCATACAGATTTAGGTTTTTGCCAGGTGGGTGCAGTACAAGTACAGAGAGACTAAGGAGGTTTAGGATTTGGCCAAGAGAGTGATATAACATGAAATCTGAGCTGGATTGGAGGCAAATAAAGGAAGAGTGAATACGGAGAATGGAGGTGGGCCAAAGTACCCATTGATGTTGAAGAACTGCTGTATTGGGTAAGCCATCTGGGATATGGGACATTTTGGTGGCAGAAAAAGACTGTGGTCATGGAGAAGTTTCTGATGATGACACGGTCTGAGTGTGCAAGGTGGAGGGGGCTGAGGTAGGGCCTTACAACCTTCCCTGCATTGGTGCCTGTGGTCTTTGTAAGAAGTAGAAGGAATATAGCTTGGAAGCAACAATCACCAGTCCTTTCTAAAATTCTGAAGTTCCTCAAGGGAGGAAATTAGTAGTGGGAGCATTTCAGGGCTGCAGTCCCGGGAAGTGGCTGTTTCATGGTTTGGTAGCACAACTCAGGACTGAGAGGTAAGAGATCGAAGTCCTATGGCTTAACCTCTTTGGACCTCAGTTCTTTTATTTAAAATAAAAAGGGCCACAAGAGACTTTGAGAAAAGTATAAAATCTCAACCTGGAAGCAAAATCACTTAATGAATCTGTCAACTTCTTTTCTTAATGGGAACAGTTGGCCTTCCTGAGGAAATGAAAGAGTAACTTGCCCGAATACTGATAGAGCTCTTACTACTTGCTTATTTTATAAATATGAATGGACAAGAAAGAGGTATCTTTTTTTTTTTTTTTTTTTTTGAGACGGAGTCTCACTCTCGCCCAGGCTGGAATGCAGTGGCGCGATCTCGGCTCACTATAAGCTCCGCCTCCCAGGTTCATGCCATTCTCCTGCCTCAGCCTCCTGAGTAGCTGGGACTACAGGCACCTGCCACCACGCCCGGCTAAGTTTTTTTTGTGTTTTTAGTACAGACGGGGTTTCACCATGTTAGCCAGGATGGTCTTGATCTCCTGACCTTGTGATCCGTCCGCCTTGGCCTCCCAAAATGCTGGGATTACAGGCATGAGCCA